AGACATTTGTCCAAGTTGTTACGTGTATGAATAGTTAATACCCTTTCTTTACTGGATCATATTTGTAATTATTTTAAGAAGAAGAGCCCTTATCACGTAGAGATACTGCAGGATTTTCAGACGAAATGATGCAATGTCTGAGATTTGCTTTAAAATATGGAGGAAGGGGATTATAAATAAATCATGATTTTTACGTATATAATTGTTGAAGTTAGTAGATGGGTATATGAGGTTCAATGTACTCCTCAGTCTATTTTTTAGGTGTTTGAAATTTTCCATTATAAACAGGTTAAAATATAGCAGTATAGGGCAGCCAGTGGCATGGTAGTTAAGGCAGCTAGACCCTACCTGGCCAATGCATGGTTCGAGTCCTGCGCCCAGAAGCTCGGAAAGCATGGTGGGTGCATGTGCATGTGTGCCCAGAATCTTTTTTTTTTTTTTTTTGGAGAGGTTTTTCACTATAGGGCGCGTGCCCTAGCCAGAGAGAGACAGAAAGCAAGAAATCACCCCCAGGGGGGATTGCCACGCCGCAATCCCTTCTCCATTCTCCTCTCGGAATCTTGGGCACGCACGCACATGCACCCGGCGTGAGTTTTAAGCCACTGGGTCCGGGACGCGAACTACGGTCGACTACGTTGGAGTCCAGCGACATAGCCATTACTCTAACTGCTGGTTCCTGTGCCCAGAATCTTGAGGAGAATGGTAGCCATTCCACCTGGCAGGGGAAGAGGGGGATGCTTTCTCACTTTCTCTGTCTGTCTCTGTTTGTCTGGCAAGGGCACACACCCTACAGCAATTTTTTACTTTTTTATTGTAAGTAAAATACAGTAATACAGCCACTTATTTAGAGAGGAGGAGCTAGCCACAAGAACTAGGAATGGAATCTGAAAGTAAGTAAACACTAAGGGTAGGGAAGTATGGACGTTAGCGTTATAAGCTTTCCTGTTCACTTTGGTTTGTTGCCATGTATACAAAAGATTTTTAAATAATTACAAAGGTATCCTGTGAAAACAATTTAAGTCTTAATTGTTCAACTAAAAAAATAAACGTTTACTTCTGTTTTGTGATTTCTTTCACTATGTGAGTGAGACACGTGGTACTGGAGTAAGTGGGGTTACTTCAGAGGTAACAAGCTTCAGTTGTCCTTTGTTTGCTCCAGGTCATAAACCAACCCGGGATTCTGGATCACATGACTTCTTCAAGTTTCAGTCATGTTGCTGCTTTTGTTTATTACACTATAAGCCAGACTTTAGGTGGAAATTTAAATTTTGTTAATTTACTAGCCATTGCTGAAATCTTACGGGTAAGATAAGCACTGCTGTTTTCTGGACAGATTGAAGTGCCATAGTTGTCGTCTTTATTTTAATCATATACTTCTCAGGACCAGCAGTTAGCGTAATGGCTATGTCACTGGACTCCCATGTAGTCGAAGGCAGTTCGTGTCCCAGACCTGGTGGCTTAAAACTCACGCCGGGCACGTGTGCGTGTGTGCCCAAGATCCCGAGAGGAGAACGGAGGAGAAGGGATTGTGGCGTGGCCATCCCCCCTGGGGGGGGGGATTTCTCACTTTCTGTCTCTCTGTCTCTCTCTGTCTGTCTGGCAAGCGCACGTGCCCTATAGCAAAAAAACCTCTCCAAAAAAAAGAAAAAGAAATAGTATACTTCTGTTTGCCTATAACCATTAAAAAAAAAACAGAATTTTTGTTATTCAATCATGTTTAACATGTTTTATGTATGCTTAACTGTACTTCTTTTTCATTCATTCATTCGCATTTGCTGAGTAGCTACTATGTGTCAGGTAGTGTTACAGGTGCAGAGGACATCTTGTAAAACAAAGAGTTTTGAAATTATACTAAAAGGTAATTTGTTTTTTTGGAGAGATTTTCACTGTAGGGCGTGTGCGCTCGCCAGACAGACAGAGAGAGACATAGAGACAGAAAGCGAGAAATCACCCCCCAGGGGGGATGGTCACACCTCAATCCCTTCTCCTCCATTCTCCTCTTGGATCTTGGGCACGCACGCACACACGCCCGGCGTGAGTTTTAAGCCACTGGGTCCGGGACACGAACCGCGGTCGACCACATGGGAGTCCAGCGACATAGCCATTACGCTAACTGCTGGTTCCCGTAATATTTTTTCTTAGCAGTAAATTAGAAACTAAATTTAGAGGCTATAATCTGCTGATGAAGGAAGACCATAGTATATTAACTGACTGCCTTACACTAATACTTGTAGCTTCATTTTATATTAAGAATGAAAAGTATATGAGGTAATGGGTATGTTAATTAGCTTGATTTAGTCATTCCTCAGTGTATATATATCAAAACATGTTGTACACCATAAATATATATAATTTTTGTCAATAAAAAAAAGTTGGAGGGGTGGCATGGTAGTTGAGGTGGCTGAATCCAACATGGCTGATAACACAGCTGGAATCCTGGAGCCAGTGGCTTAAAAAATATGCCGGGTGTGGGACCAGCAGGTGGCATAATAGTTACATTGTTGTACTCCCACATAGTCAACTGCAGTTCAAGTCCTGGACCCAGCGGCTTAAAACTCATGCCAGGCATGTGTGCATGCATGCCCAAGATCTCGAGAGGAGAATGGAGGATAAAGGGATTACAGCGTGGCCATCCACCCTGGGAGGTGATTTCTCGCTTTCTGTTTCTCTGTCCCCCTTTCTTCTTTCTCCAACAAGCACACGAACCATACAGCAAAAATACTCTCTCTTCGGAAAAAAAAATTTCTAGGTGCATGTGCATGCATGCTCAAAATCCTGAGAGAAGAACCTTTTTGCATGCTGACTTATTTAATATTCAACACAACTTTATGTGGTATGTGCTGCTGTGATTCTCATTTTGCAGAAGAGAATGGCATACAGAGAGGTGAAGTAACTTTCTTAAGATTATAAAGCAGTTAAGTGGCAGAGTCAGGATTAGAACACAGGGTGTCTTGCGCCAGAGGCAAAAAGTTTCTCTTTTGCAATTTATATATAATCTCCAAGTTAAAGTTTTTCTTTTATCTAGGCTTCTATGTCCTTTGACCAGTCCAGCACTCTTCCAACTGCTTCATAGAATATCAATAGATGTTCCGTGGAAAAAATACGTAGTGGAAAAAAAAATTTAACCCAGCTTTTTCCTAATAGATTAATTATACTGAAGACTTCTCAGAGAATTTAATGTTAAATGTATATTGTAAATTGCCAAGACGAACATTCATCCACTTCTCAGAGAATTTAATGTTAAATGTATATCGTAAATTGCCAAGAGGAGCATTCATCTTGTGTAGTTCTAAAATTACTTTTCCCCTGGAATGTTTTGTTTTGGTTTTGCAGGCTATCTATAGATCTCGAGGAACACACAGTTCTTCGCCATTTCTGTATTCTTCAACCTCACCCACTCTTTCACACTGTTAGTTTCCCCTAAGTCTTCCATGCCCTCACCCAAATGATCTTTCTTAAATGTGAGATCCACTGTTGGTAAGCTCTAATTCACCATGAGTGAGCTTTCAGTGCTTGCCTTTGACTCATGGCAAACAAGGATCCTGCCTGCTTTGTTAGCTTTGGCCGCTCTCAATGGATTCTCTGACCATAGACTGCTCCTTGCAGCCCTTCTGTGCTGTCTTTGAATCTGTATATGCCACTTCCTTCTCTTTGAAGAGCCCTCTGCCACATCCCATCATCAGCCAAAACACTTCTTACCTGTTTGAGGTTTGTGGATCTTGTCTTGAACACCTTCCGTAGGCCAGGTTCCCATCTCAGTCCACACCGTCTGCTATGGTAAGCATGTATTGTAATTATTTGCCTTTAGACCAGGAGGCCTTTAAGACCACATCCTGTTTGCTTCTAGGTCCCACACCTAGGAAGTTAGTACCTGACACGTAGCAGTTTCTCAGTGAATATTTGAGTGAATTCTACTTTTTGAAAGCATTGTTGAAACATGTTTCATGTTGACCTGAAATCTGGGTGTCTCCAACATTACCACGTTGAATGTTTCATTTATTTTGTTCACAACAGTCTTTCTAGTATTTTAATACAGTGAGTGTTGCTGAAGCTTTTTCTGACCTACAACATGATTTCTCAGTTGCTGATAGAACAGTCAGAACTGAGCATAATTCTACCTTTTGGATATTATTAAAGCAACTTTTCAATTTTTACTTTAAAACCCATGTTTTTCATCACTTATTACCAAACCTTTGACCCCTGTCTTCTACTGTGCTTCTTAAAATCCATCTTGTTTTAACTTACACTTAAGCACTTATTGTTCGAATCAGATGAGTTGGCTTAGTGTTATTTTCAGGTGTTATATATATACCTGCTGTTTCTTTATCCAAACCTAAAAACAGAAGACAGTCTCCCTGGCATTCCAATAGATAACTCAGGCTAGGTTAATCCTGGGTTGTCATGGCTACATCCTAGTTACAAATATATCTGTCCAACCCTATAGCATCTAATCTATTTTATCATTTATCCAGCACTTACTTCGGCAAATGCTTTGTGGAAATACAGAAAGCTATTATGCAATTTAAAAACTCAGTTCTTCAGATTTTATTGAATTGGTATCAGTTACCTAAATCCCTACCTCTGACTCACAATGAAATAACTAGCCTATCTTAATTTTTCCTGCAAAAATTTATCTTAAAAAACAAACAAACACCCATACACACAATGAAGGGCCAGAAGGTAGAGTGGTAAAGGTGCTGGACTCTCCTACATGGCTGACCACAGTTTGAGTCCAGATCTAGTGGCTTGAAAATCACACTAGGCACATGTGTGCATGTGCTCAGAATCCCAGAAGAATGGAAGAGAAGGGATTGCAGCTTGGCCCTCCCCTTTGTGGGAATGATCTCTCACTTTCCCTCTCTCTGTCTCTCTCTGAGCGCACTTGCCCTATAGGGGGAAAACCCACAATGAACGAAAGAGATATTTTTAGAAGTTAGAGAGTCAGAATTGTATGTGGTACTACATCTTTTTCAATTACAGTATTTTGATACATTTCTTAGGTTTTAAAAAGTTGCAGAAAGAAGAAGGGAAAGGGAAAGAAGAGTGTTCAGAAGTCTTTATACGGAGGAAGAGACATTGCTTCCAAGAAGCCCCTCCTCAGTCCCATTCCTGAGCTGCCCGAAGTCTCTGAGATGACACCGTCAGTTCCAGGAATCCGAAGGATGTGTTCAGGTATCCTGTCCTTTTCTTGTTATATTTTATCTCTTGTCTTCAACTTCTTTGTTGCTATTTTACTTTTTACCCTTTTTCCCATTTACTACATTAAGAGTACACAAATATAAATAGTAAAATTGTCTCGTATTACCATGAGAATTCTAAGTAAAAGAAGCCGTTTGTAACTATTTTTAGAGACAGATTTTTGCTCTGGGGCTAGTGCACTTGCCAGAGAGACAGACAAAAAGTGAGAAATCATCCCCCAGCGGGGATGGCCATGCCACAATCCCTTCTTCTCCATTCTTCTCTTGGGATTTTGGGCACACATGCACATGTACGCGACATGAGTTTTAAGTCACCAGGTCTGGAACTTGAACGATGACTGGCTATGTGGAAGTCCAGAGAGGTAACCGTTATACCATCTGTTAGTCCTAATTTGTAACTTTTCATTGCCAGAGAGCGCTCACAAGAGAGACGGAGGGAGAAAGCATCCCACTGTGGGGCATGGTCAAGCGGCAATCCTTCCTTCTCCATTCTGTTGTGATTTTGGTTCACTCACCCACATGTACCCAGTGTTTTTCAACCAGCTATGGCCAGGATTTGAACAGTGGCCAGCCATGTGGGATCTGGCTCCCTTAACCACTAGGCTACAGGGCTCCGAGTAGTTTGTAACTTTTTAGTAACTTAGAAAAGTGGTCTCCAACCTTCCTGGCACCAGGGACTGGCCTTGTGGAAGGAAGACAGTCCCTCCATAGATTGGGCTGGGGAGGGGGATGTGTTGCCCCTTGAGTGACCCAACCATCCTACATCCACTGTGCTCCCCATTTCCTCCACTACCACATTGTAATACACAATGAAACAATCACACAACCATAGGGTTTGTGCTCCCATGAGCATCCAGTACTGCCGATCAGACAGGAGGCAGACTCCGGGTGGTAGGTGGTAGTGCGAGCTCTGGAGAGCGGCTGCAAACAGATGCAGCTGCGCTCACTTGCCCCACCCCAACCCACAGTGTACAGCCTGGCAGATCGCCACCTGTCTGTGGCCTAGGGGTTGAGGACTGCTCACTTAGACCTTTTTCGGAATCTAATAGAAGTTCTGGATCTTCTCCCCAGAAAAGTTCAGATAAGCTTTCACATGTAATTTCAGAGGAAATAATTTCTCTTTATCCTGTTTGTTTTGTTTTGCTTTTCAAAGAAACTGTCATAATTTTTTCAAAAGAAAAAGCTTGCCCTATGATGTTTTATTAGATTTGGCTCTACGAAGTGTCTTCTCGTTTCGTTCACCTTGATTCACCTTTATTTATAAATAAAGATCAAGTCAGTCAATATCCTAGTTAAATAAAAAATGGCTTGCAGTTGTTCGGGGTTTGTAATTCCTGAGTTTTAAACTAGTTGCATCATACCAAAAATACTGGTATATGTTTTTTTTTTTAATTTTAATTTTTTTTTTTTTTTTTGAGAGAGAGATTTTCGCTATAGGGCGCGTGCACTCGCCAGACACAGAGAGAGAGAGACATAGAGACAGAAAGCGAGAAATCACCCCCCAGGGGGGATGGTCACGCCGCAATCCCTTCTCCACCATTCTCCTCTTGGGATCTTGGGCATGCACACACACGCGCCTGGCGTGAGTTTTAAGCCACCGGGTCCGGGACGCAAACCGCGGTTGACTACGTGGGAGTCCAGCAACATAGCCATTACGCTAACTGCTGGTTCCCAATACTGGTATATGTTGATTTTGTATAGAATAATTTTTAAAATAACTGCCTTTGCTGACCATCAGATGTTTATAGCCTGCCTTCTGTTCAAAATATACTGTGCAATATTTATAATCAACTCAGAGGTGAGTAAGGTTCATGTCACTACTGACTCTTGGCTTCTGTGTATTTTGTAACTTCAGAATAGTGAGAGAGTTTAAGTAAGCAGTCACCCCACTAATGCACACACCCTTCTTCTGCTCCTGCTTTTTTGTGGCATGTCTTGGAACAGGGGTTCTGCTGCTCCCTCTCTTTTTGATATGGCCTAGTGCTGCTTATATTTTAAGATTTTGCTGTGCTGTCTACCTTTCCAGGAAAACCCTTTGTTTGCATTACCCTTTTATGGCCTGGTTAATCATCATGTATCTTCTGTCTACACCTCTCCCTACCCAAGCTGCAGTCTTCCTTAGAGTGAAAACTAAGTCTTATTTTCATGATGTCCTTAGTTTCTTTTTTTGAAAATTTTTTGCTATAGGGCGCATGTGCTCGCTAGAAAGAGAGAGAGAGAGAGACAGAAAGCGAGAAATCGCCCCCCAGGGGGGATGGCCATGCTGCAATCCCTTCTCCTCCTTTCTCGTCTTGGGATCTTGGGCACACACGCACACGCGCCCAGCATGAATTTAAGCCACCGGGTCTGGGGCTCGAACCACGGTCAACTACATGGGAGTTCAGCAACATAGCCATTACACTAACTGCTTGTCCCTTCAAGCATTTTTTATCTACAACCAATGGTGTTACCTACTTCAAGGATTTAAAGCAATTCAGTGCTTCCCTTTTTTCTGTCCTCTCTCTCTGTCACTCTCCTTTTCTCCCTCCCTCTTTCCTACCTTGCTTCTCTAGCATATTGAATGTTTTAACATGTCATGGAAAACATATAAATATAAAATTCTAAAGCAGTTTAAAGAGCCTAACTGGTTGGTTGGCATGAGTAGACCGTATGTTAATCTATAGCTGTATATGACATGTCTTAAAGAACCATAATTGTGAATATATAGCTTTCCAATTGAACATTGTTTTTTGAGACTTTTGGCTCAACTTATATTTTGTATGTCTCTCCATTTTGCTTTTGCTTAGGACATTGGTTTGTACTCATTTGACTAATTAAAAATGCTATTACCTGAGAAAACAAGAGAGATGTCATCTTATAGTTGTGAGATTTAGAACGTGAATAGCCTGAATTCGTTTAGATTGTGTTAATTATCAACCTTAAAAACCTTGATGGTTTTTGTAACAATATGCCAGAAACACCTGAAAGTCTACATGTGGTATATCTTCCTGGAAGATGAGGTTTAGTCAGAAATTGAGGAATATGGGGTATATTTTTAGAATATTAGGATAGACATGACTTTATTGGAGGGTACATTATACCATGTGGTAATTTTTTAACAGAGAGCCTGAGACCTGGATGTCTTCAGGTGTGTCCTTTCAACTATCAAGTTTTTATTCTCAGAATTTTGCATTTTTCTCTCCTTTATTTCAGACCATACCTTGATAAGTAAAGTTTATAGGCATGATGTTGCCCATTGTCATGAATTGATTTTTAGGGAATTGGGGAATGTGACTGTCCCATGCTAATTGACCTCATAGTGTAGGAAATGCATTAGAACAAAAGAAGCAATTTAAGATAGCATTTCCATTTTCATGGTCTCAGGTTATGTGCATCGAATACTTATTGTCATAATTTATGGATTAAGGAAGCACTAAAAGAGGAGGAGGACATTTGTAGGTCCTAAGACTTTTGAGAGCTTAAAACACAATATATATAAGAGGACCCGCTAAGACTTTTGAGAGCTTAAAACACAATATAAGAGGACTCAATTAATTATATATTAGGGTAGCTGTTTAATAAACTTGAATCTTATTTTCATTGTTACTTTTTAATTAGATTTAAACTTATTTATGTACCCATAGATTTCAACTCAATTGGTAAACTTGAACAAGAGAAGCCTCCTAAAAATCAAGTTAAGAGAAAGAATCCTTTGCTTCAAAATCCAGAAGATTTGAATATAGATCAAGGGTTTGAGAAATACATATCTAAATTCTGCCGCTCTCACATAAAAAGTTCATCGCTTGGTAATGCTATTTTTGGTGATAAAAATACAAGTACTATAGATCTTAATGAAAATAAAAATATTCCAAAAGCAGAAAATAAGTTGGAAAGTGAAAATGAACCACAAAGTGGGAATGAGAATGAAAACAGTCCTGTATCTTACGCTTCTGTGACTGCAGAACACACTATATCGGATAATGCAAAACCTGATTTTAACCTACAACGGCAAGAATTTCCTGCTGCTGATGGAAACATGGAAAACCTTAGTCAAATCGTTAACATTTCAGAAGATAAAAATATGAAGTGTGAAAAACAGGATGGCTTAGCTACAGAGGCAGAACTCCACGACAATTATTTAATGTCTGACTCACAAAAAGAATTTTATTGTTCAGATGTCTTAATTGAAAATATAAAAGAATTTAAAAGCTGCAGTGAGGATGTAGGAAGGTCCACAGAAAATAGCAGCATTGTGAATCGTAAGAAATACAGAAGATGCTCTCTGAATTATTCTGACAGTCAAAGTTTACACCTGGGAAAAAATGGAAATCACAGCTCTTCCTCCAGCATGGTGAGCTCTGTAGATAGTAGTTTAGAAAACTCCGAACTGTATAGAGATTTATCTGACACTATAGAGCAAAGCTTTCAGAGAGCAAAGAGTGAAACCAAAGTGCGACGTAGCACAAGGCTACAACACAGTTCAGAAAGTGAAGGGCTTGTATGGATTTCCCTTCCATTTCCTGCCACTTCCCAAAAAACCAAAAGGAGAACGATCTCTACATTTGACAACAGAGAAGTTGAAAGTTTGTCCCCAAGAAAAGACACTGTGTCCCTCGGGCAAAAAGCCTATGTGGCACCCTCTGACTCAGGTAGAGAAAACAGCAAGAACCCTGCTCATTCTAATTTATCTAGGAAGAGAAGGAACAGCTTTTGTATGTCTACACTCACAAATACTGAAACTGCTACCAAGTCAATACACTACCGGAGAAACAGTTTTCTCAAGAAGGCCGAAAGCTCCCTGACTGATTTGGAAAGTATTGGGCATAGTGGAGAACTCAAGTAGTAACTGGACGTTTCTGCAGAGCATTTGACGAGAGGGGAGATAACCATCCATGCATAACAGATTCTTCTTGTTCCCATCCTCTGTTCAACCTCAGTGTTTTAAATTTTCAAATAAATAAAATCATTTGAGTTGAAATCTACTTTTAGGTAGACAGAAGTGTATTTTTTCATCATTCAAAAAGAAAACATTCTATTAAACATGCCCTCCCCGCCAAATGGTGATTTATTAGTGTTTTGCCAGATGGATTGCTTTCAGACTCAACATTATGTCCCTGAATTTTTATATCTCGTGAGAATGTATTTACCATCGAAAGTTTAGACCCTGTGTTGTATAAAGCATCTTTTAGAATTGACTTGATATATATTTGAATGTGATGAGCTGTTTGTTTTATAAAAGACGTATTGCTAGAACTAGGAACTTTATGAAGACTTAAAGTAGAAGTCTTAAAAAATAAAATCAATTCTAAATACGCAATTTTACAAAATGCTTTCAATAACCAGACTTTTATAAATCTGTCTCTATAAGTGAATAAATAACTCTGATGAAAGAGTATTCATTTTGTCAGACAAGATTCCTGTATTTTTTCTCAGGGGAGAGTGTGTGAGCAGTTGGTTTAGGGTGAAAAACTGGACTCCCAGATAGTTCCTAACTCAGAATTTAATTCATGGCTTATCATAATTTTTTTTTTTAAACTAGACACTCACTTGAAGGGACCCTAGAAAATTTGTGGTTTTTTTCCCATGAAGCGTGGTGGTAGGTCACTGATTTCTTTTTCCGTGGGGCATCTTCCAGCTATTCAAACTTGTCATTTTGTAATATCGGATATTGTCACTCGTCTCAGTTATGCATTGACTGATTTTGGTGAGAGCGGTTTGAAAATCTGAATTGCTATATACTGTGTCTGGAATTCGTGAATGTCCATAAATCATCATATCATTAAACAATTGTCTTTGAAATCCTTTAAATCATTAAACTCTCCCTCTCCATGATAGCAGGAACATGTTAACAAATAGAGCTCTCTATAAATAACACAACAGGGAAGGGGGCTCCTGCTGGGCGCCTATTTCCCCCTCCTTGGATAGAGGCTATTTGTTACCTTTTTGGCACCGGCAGGTCTGGAACTCCTGCTGCTAAAGACTAATGTATTTTACATTAACACTCCAAGTGATCCCCATTTTCTTCTACTCAAGGGTAGATTGTTTAAGAAATTCTTTTATCTTTAAGTGTAAATTATTTACGGACTCTTTTTTTGCCCTTGATAGTTTGGTGTGGTTGGTAAACCACTGAAAACAAACAAAAGAACGAATTAACTTCTTCGGAAGCTTTTTGGTGTTGGTCCTTTAAAAAGAAAACTTTCAGAACGATCTCAACTATTTGAATTTTTAAAATTTCACATGCTTTATTTCTCAAAAAGTCACAAAGATGAGAGCAGCATTTTTATCTGTGATTTTTTTTTTTACTTAGGTTTTGCAAATGCAAAGTTGTTCTCATTCTCCAGTATCTACAGTTTAAAATGTGTAAGCATATTTTATGGCGTCTGTTGGTTTCTAAATGTTTCATTATAAATATTTTGCTGATGTTTGTAAATAACAACTGTTAATTTTCCTAAATAGAACAGGTCTGAAAAATCAAAGCAATTTCGATGCAGTTTTATCCACCCCAGTCTCATTTGTAAAGATTTGCGAAAAGTTAGTAATTTCTATGTTTGATCATGCTTGCGTATTTTGTTTTACTGCCGCTTTTCATAAATAGTAAAGTCAAAAACTTGGCTCTTTCCTGCCTTGCCTTTTTTTGCTACCGTAATAACCTATGTTCTGCCATAGGAAGTCTCCTAGTGACATCCTCTGTTTCTGTAGATTCTTGGTTGTTCCAGAAGATGGCAGTGTGACATCTCAAGTTTTTCTTCTGTGCTTACTCTGGAAAGCAGGGCTTCTTTTTTTTCTCTAAAAGGGCAATTCTTAATTGTCTTTGCTTCCTTTATTTTTATTCATTTTTATTACAAAAACATAATGTGTCTATTGAAAAAAAAGAACACTACAAAATTTAGAATTATAAATATTGACAACGTATTTCTTTTCCCCACTCCATGCAACCACCACACAGCCACACTGACCTCTCCCCAGCTTTCTATGTGTAAACCCTGTTAACAACTGCTATATATCTTTTAGACCTTTTTTATATAAGCATGAGTATATTTTTGTTGTTTTCTAATGGCATCACTGTGTGCCATCCTACAACTTGATTGCCCTCTTTTAAGTTGATTTATTTATTCCGTGAGAGAGAGACAGCACCCCCGACAGGGTCTCTGCACCATGATCCACCCAGGCCTCAGTCATTCCCAGATCACTGTCACACACATACCTGACATACTCACCGAGGTCTCCAGACACAGAATCTTCTCGTGTGTGTCACTGCATCTGACCCACACACAACTAGATTTTTTTATTCAACAAGATACCACACAAAGATCCTTCAGTGTTAGTATGGACAGCCCTACTTCTTCCTTATCTTTAACCCCTGCATGGAATGATATACTTTCCTAATTTTTTTTCTTTTTCTTTTTTTGGAGAGGTTTTTGCTATAGGGCACGTGTGCTCACCAGAAAGAGAGAAAGCGAGAAATCACCCCCCAGGGGGGATGGTCACACCGCAATCCCTTCTCCTCTGATCTCCTCTCGGGATCTTGGGCACGCACGCACATGCACCCAGCGTGAGTTTAAGCCACCGGGTCCGGGACTTGAACCGCAGTCGACTACGTGGGAGTCCAGAGACATAGCCATTATGCTAACCACTGCAAGTTAGGTAGTCATCTCCTTACTAATGATGAAAGTAATTTTGCTGTAGAAAATTATGCTACATGGGATTGTGTACAAATATAAAACTCAAAATTAAAATAAGTCAGTCTTCTGTAGATCTTAACTGAATTCTTTCCATTTTAGCCACTTTGCCTTTTTTCTGTCTCATTTTCTCCTCCTGCCACTTTATGCCACCTGATTTCCATTTTCTTTAAGATAGAGTTGAGAGTGAGACCAGGACCTGCCATAGCAAGGAGAAATTATTAATAATGCCTGATTCATAAGTCCCCTCTCCCCATCCCCACCTTTGCACAACTGCTATCTGATTTCTATCATATTTCTGCCATTTCCAGAATGTTATGGAAAAAGAATGAAACAATTTATATCCTTTGTGTCTGACTTAATTTAGCCATAATGTTTCTGAGATTGATCTGTGCTGTATGTTATGTTGATAACCTGTTTATTGCTGAGTAGTATTCTATTTTCTAGATGTACCATAGTTTGTTTATCCATTTACTACTCCATGGATATTTGGATTATTTGTTTTTGACTATTACAAATAAAGCTGCTATAAACAGTCACATCTGGATCTTTTTTATAGACACACGTTTTCGTTTATCTTGGATATATACCTTGAGATAGGACTCCTGGGAATGCATGATAGTATATTCCTTTGTAAGAAATCGCCAAGCTTTCTCATAGTGGTGGCACCATTTTTTAATTCCTCCCAGCAACGCATAAGTTACATTTGCTCCACATCTTCACCAGCATCTACTATTCAATCTTTTTCATTTTAGCTATTTTAATAGGTATGTAATAGTGTCTTACTGTGATTTTGATTTATGTTTTTCTAATGACTGTGATGTCGAACACATTTTTCTGCGCTTATTTGCTATTCTTAAATCTTTAAGGTGTGTGTTCAAATCTGTTGCCCAAGTTTTTGTTGTTGTCTTACCATTATTAAGCTGAAAGTTCTATACATATGTGTGTGTGTATGATAGCGCATGTGCACGGAAAAGAGACAGGCACCCACCGCAGTCTCCTATCCCCAGCCCTCCACTCTTTCAGTACAGTGGGGGCTCACACACCACCCAGATATTCCAGGTGGACCAGACAAGGCACCCGAACCACAGTCAGCCATGTGGCTGCCAGCACCATAATCCAGCATGTTTCCAACTACACCAACTGGCTGGGGCAGTTCTGCGTTTATTTGGAGATGAGTTTTTTATTGCATGTGTTTCTTAACATTTTTTTTTCCTCACTCTGTAGTTTGTCTTTTTATTTCCTTAGCAGTATCTTTTGAAGAATTAAGATTTCTATTTTGATAAAGTCTAAGTTAGCATTTTTTTCCTTTAATGGTTCATTAAAAAAAAAAAAAAAAAAAAAAAAAAAAACTATTCCTAAACTCAAGGACATAAAGATCTTGTTCTAGATTTTCCCATAGAAATCTTGTAGTTTTCAGGACCAGCAGTTGGAGTAATGGCTATGTCGCTGGATTCCCATGTAGTCAACCATAGTTCAAGTCCCGGACTCGGTGGCTTAAACTCACGCTGAGCGCGTGTGTGTTTGTGCCAAGATCCCGAGAGAATGGAGGAGAAGGGATTGCAGCGTGGCCATCCCCCCTGGGGGTGATATCTTGCTTTCTGTCTCTGTGTCTCTCTCGTTCTTTCTGGTGAGCGCATGCACCCTATAGCAAAAACCTTTCCAATAATAATAATAAATCTTGTAGTTTTCATTTTCACTTAAGTCTCCACTTTGTTCATTTTTGTGTTTTACAGGAAGAGGATGGGTATTTTTGTTTTTAATAGGAATCATCCAGCACCACTTACTGAAAACTTACCTATTCCTCATTGAATTATATTGCACGTTTGTTGAAATCATTTGAACCTATATTAATAGGTCTATTTCTGGACTTTATTCCATTGATCTATATGTCTGTTACACCGCTATAACACCATCTTATTACCATGAGACAACTTTTTTATTTTCTTTACTGTAAATCGCTGTCATGTTTAAAGTTCTGTTTTTTGGCAGGGGGAGGGAGTGATGAGTAAAAGCAAAAAGTTGACCAAACATATCTATCTGGGGACTTCAGTTATACCCAGACCTGTACTACCATTTGGGGGCAAGAAGCCATCAGTACTAATAAGCTATCAAAGATACGTAAGGTAAGGAAATCAACTTTTCTGAGAGACCTGTATATTCAGTTCAGTCTTCCATAAATAGGATAAAATAAGGCTCAAAATTAAGACGGCTAAAAAATTTTCTAATAAGCCTGATTTCTTTATAAATTAAGGTCCTTATTATAGTTTGGCTTAATATAAAAATGGATAATTTTCTTTACT